GCGGCGGCCGTATCTCTATTCTTCATGGCTCGCTCCAACGACCAATGCCGTCACTTAAATCGTAAATAAAACGACGGCATTGGTCGTTGGGGCAAAAAGGATCATGTGGGGCATGCGACACAGACTTCTAGTTTTCATGCCTTTGTACTGTTACAAATTAATGTTCAGCGTTACTTTATATTCTTTAACTTGACTACGCGTTCGTTCGATTTTCTCATACAAATTGTACAATTGTCAAAGCGTGAAAACGAAATAATTCGTAAGCTACACACGTGACATCTCGAGTTGTCGCGCCAATTGTCTCAAATGGGTAACAAAAATGCTCCGAGAACGTTTCAATTATATCGGCCTCGAGGTTAGAAAAGTAATCGTGCAAAACATTGTTGCAATAACATCAGTATTGTTACAAGTATGAGACTTTCTTTCGTGTTTCCGAGTACACGCTAAACAAATTTTTATTCAAGTTGAACGTCTCGTGTACAGGTTAAGTCGAGGGTTGATGGAAACGAACACAACGCACGTATTAATTGACGAATAAGTTGTAACACGAGAAATAGATTCCCAGGTAAACCGCTGACCGATACTCTTTTATATCTCTGAGAAACCGCTGCTTACCGGACAGCAGAAAATAACGCAAGATTTTATTCACGATTAACAGCAGAAGTGTTAAGAGGTGCGTTCGCTGCAACATGCTGAAAACTTTCAAGTGCCTCCAATGTGACTCAACCTTCGACCGTGCCTCGCAACTGGACTACCACCGTCGGAGTCTACACCTGGGCGAGAGGTCCCAGATATGCCAGATATGCGGGAAGGGCTTCTTTCGCAAGGCGGACCTGCGCACCCACTTGAACATTCATCTGGGAACAAATTTTCACATTTGCGAGATCTGTGGCAGGAAGTTCAGTCACATATCAAATCTTATAAGACACTGTAGAATGCACACTGGTGAGATATCAAATGCCTATGATGTGACAAAAGCATATATTTACATAGAAATAAGAATAAAGTAGAAATCATTTGCAAGATGCAGATAGACTTGATAATCCGATGGCTGTAATTCTCCTCATTTATTTTGCGTGCAGGAATCAAACCGTATTCGTGTTCAATTTGCGAAAAGAATTTCACGCAAATGTCTTCGCTGGCAAGACACAAACAAATGATACATGGGATACCAAAGGATGTTGCACAGCAGTATTATAATTCTAGTCTTATCAGTAATAGGTCACGATTCAGCAGCCAAGCGTCGAAAGAAAACAAGGTGACAAATCGTCGATACGTACTTTCAATTTCAGTTAACACATTTCATCAGTTTTACATTATTACAATAGTAGTGTAAGGCAGATTACGTTCTAAAGGCCTGTGTCCACGATGCTAGAACTTGGTCCAAGTTCTAGTTCCATAAAATATGTAGCTAATCATTGGTCCAAGTTCTGGCATCGTGGACACAGGCCTTTATAGAATAGCTGCAAGTTGACTAGCTATATACAGGGTAGGCCATTTTAATCTACGCACTGAAATCTCTCAAAATAAGTTTAAGAAAAAAAATTTTTTTTATCACTTGTTACAAAATTGTGTGTTTTCTTTACACCGGTTGATTTGTCTCATTATTCTGTTCAAAAAAGTATTAAGGTAAGATGATAAAAAAATGAATATTTTACAAGATATTTTATAATTTATGTCAAAATATTGGAACTTTCAAACCTTAATAACTCAAAAAGTTCTTATTAAAGAAATACTTTATTAAAGCGTTTTGGAAAGCTCTCGAGGTGAGCTATAAGAATATGTAATAAAAAATAGGGGTTTCTATTTTAAAAAAACCACTCTGATCTTCAAATAACCTTGAAAAGTAGTCTCAAGGTCAATGCTAGTTATACAGATAGGTGACCCCCATTATCTTGAACAACTTTTGTCTGAAACATTTTTTTTAAACTTATGGATTTTGTGAGATTTCAGTGCATAGATTAAAATGGCCTACCCTGTATTTCCCAGAACTGGAACTTGGACCAAGTTTTAACATCACACAGGTCTTAAGAGAACAATAATGGATCACCAAGCAGTTTTTGCTATTGCAAAATTCGATAATTAAATGAGCCCAGCTCAATGGCCCTGATATATGTTGTTATGAAACAAATTTTAGTCGTTCGTTGTTTATTAAAAAGTTATTAGTTACTAATGCAAACGTGTGTTTCACGTTGTACATTGAACCTGGTATAGGTATATTATTTGCATATTCCAATAAATGCCTGAATACGGGAGGAATTTTTCCTGTATCCTAGAACAATTTGTCTAACCCAACTTAATTTTAGTTGCAAGTTAGAAATGAGTTTACGTTAGATTAGATTTCCTTATCTATTGACGCAACACGACTTCGACATTTATGTATTAATCTAATTGTAAGCACCTTTTACTTTGTATAGTTTTTTCTTGCTTGAAAAGAACCAAAACCCATGGTCGAAACGTAGCGAGTTTGAAACATTAAAATAGCCAGATATGGTAAAAAAAACTTGAAGTTGTCAATTATTGCTGGCAACCCTGAAGATTATCTTGTTAGATTAGATTTCGTTTGGGATTTAAACTTTTTCTGGGCACGTTGAAGGCTTTTGCAAAAGTATAGAAAGTATTATTCCGAAAACATTGTAAACTTGGACTTTTAAAGTTGCCAGTTAAATTGGTAATATTTTCCATTAAGTACATCTGAGGTTCATGTATTATTGTGAATTTTTTTCAGACAATAGGTAATAATGAAGAGAGCAGATTTCACGAAGCATCTTATGTGGAGCCGAAACATATTAGCCAGAATACTAGAGATTCAGATGTAAAAAGTGAGACAATTCCCAATCAACGTGATGTTGATATGGACAATAAAGCGTGCTTATTCGAAACTATTATTTGTGTCACGTCTAAGCAGGTAAATACCTGATAGTTTAGATTTAGTCATTGTAATATGAGTACAAATATCTAACGTAAAATGTATGTGTGAAAAGTTTGAAGAAGGTAATTTGGCAGAAAATGAGAGTACAAATCGATCGCCGCAAGATCAGTTTGCCGAGATTGAGGAAAGATTTGGAGCTACTGATTTGTCAACGAATAACACTATCGTTTCAAATTCTCCCCAAGATATAGTTAATAATTATGAGATACAATCTAAGGACAGTATAACGTATTTACATCAATTGGACAAGAACATTGTTGCCTTCCTATCTCGAGATAGAGAATTTAGTGTTGAATCAGAGACCCAAAGCGATGAAAGCATTTTGAGGTCGAACGACTCGGATATATGTATATCCCGAGAGATCTGTAAAGAATCTTCCATAGACAGCGTGAGAGACTCATTGAATATGGAAACGGATCTACAAGCCTGTAATTCCAGCGAAGTTTTGACGGACCAAAAGTTTCTACATAAACAAGTAAGCAAGGAAATTATTAGTGAAAGTAAAAAGTGTAATAAACTATTAAGCGATGACGACAATCAATTGTATATAGAACTCTCGAATTCGGGAATGCTGAAATTTGACGAGCCTCGTTATTGCAATAGCACCAATTTAGCCGGTGCGAATATTATCCATGCCACCAAGTCCCATCATTCCGAAAGTATCACTGCTAATGAAGTAATAAGCACTTCCGATGCTATGCAGAATCAGGAAGGCTTGCTGCACAATGAGGAAAATGTAGAAAGTTTCAGCAACGCCTGTAATATAGTATCGAACAACGAAGAACCGATGTTGCGCTTAGTACAGACAGAGACTGGTGAGCAATTTTATGAATTTATAATAAGCAATTTGGTAGAAAAAATGCAGAACGCTTCGTGCACGAAAGATCTCGAGGATACAATAGAGGATCCGTCAAATACCTTTAGAGATGATGAAAAGATCAATTCGACATCAAAGGAAAGTGAAAAGAACGATCAGATGGAGCATCAACAAGCTTTGGACGGTCTGGTTGATATGAATAACGAATTTAATTATGCGCAATTTGATTTTCCTAGAGAGGAAAAGAGTTGCGCTGTCCTAAGCCACGGTGAATCCGAACATTTCGTGCAGAATTCAAAGGCGGACGAGTGTGTAGGTAGCATGCAGGAGAAAAGTATGCAGGTCTACAATTCCGGGAACTTGGAATTATTGGAGAGCGAGTCGCACGTTGATTTTGACAAATACGTCGAGACCAATCTCGAGGCGTTTGAGAGGCTGAATTATGAAAATTGCAACGAGAGATTTTTGGAATTTGTCGAGGTCGCCGATATTGGTATGGAATCATCAGGATACAAGGAACTCTCGATGGTACGTTTGATTCCAAACGATGGCGAACATCTGTTGGAACTGCTTCAGGATTCTCAGACTGACCAGGAAGTAACTCGAGATTTCGCGCCAGCTAATAATTTCAAAGATTGTGCCAACATTTTGCAAGATAGTAATAAAATTGCCGAATGTCCCAAAAGTAAAATAGACTTTTTCACATACGTCGAGGATAACGTGCCATTGGGGGAAAATGTAAATAGCAGCCGAGGCACAGAGAATATTGAAGGGCGTATAGACAGCGGTGATCATTTGCCTACTAACGTAATGACTGAAGATGCGAGTAATAAGAACTGTGGCAAAACGTTAGAAGAATCGAAAAAGTCGAAAACAATTTCAAAAAAATTCCAATGCTCGGTATGCAAGAAGGCGTTCTCGACGGCGTACAATTATAAGCAACATATCGGTATACATTTTACTGATCAGCAAAAATTTCATTGTAAAGACTGCGGAGTGTCCTTCGCATGGAAGTCGACTTTGAATAAGCATATCGCAAACAACCACAGCTCGGATGGTCCGCAGAAGTTTGTCTGTGAAATTTGTCCAAAAGTCTACAGCACCTTATCACAAGTAAACGTAAGTCTATCGGTATATAAATTACAATTCACTATACATTACAATTAAAAATTTTATAGATTTTGTGGCCACTATTAGTGCAAACGACATACTTGTTCTGCCTTATACACACAAAGTCACAGTATTATTACAGAAAGAATAAAAAGTTAAACTATCGGTCAAACATATTATTCATTTTGCTTTGAGAATAAACTCGCTCAGTGACATTTTTCAACCTCCAACCGATAATCAATTGAAGATAAAATTGGACAATTTGGACGAGCATGTTCTCGCCTCCAAATAAAGAATAAGTTTATTTCCATCTTAAACAATTAACTTCAATTTACGTCATTTCTTTATTACCATAATTCGATTTTTGTCAAAAAGCTCAGATTTTATACACGAACTATTGTGGCCGTTCTTTGTCATGGTATTTTGTATATTTGATGTTATTCACTTTAATATGATAACTTTTTATTTTTGCTTTCATGTATTATGTTGAAATCGTAATTATGTCTCATCATTGTCTCTATCAAATCACTAATATCAATTAGAGATTATAAGATAATATATTAGAGATAATATATTATAAGATAATATATTAGAGATTTAAACTTATATTAAAAAAGCTTGTTAAAGCCAAAACCACTTAATTATTCGAGTCAATTATTAGAGAATAATAAAGAAAATAATCCACAACTCCTTAGCACTCGCATAGTTGACCCCTTTTCACTTTTAATTTGCTTATTCATGTTCTTCAAAATAATTTCTCCTTACAATGCTGTCACTGTTAGCCGAAGACAGTCTGCCAAGTCCTTCGAAATGGAGGGTTTGCATTGCAGTTGCGTAGTCGGCGCAGAATATTATTAACCC